TGTTCCAATAAGGACTGCTTGTTTGTTCAAAGAATTGTTTTATTTTTGCCTTTAAATACTATTAAGTTTATATGATATACCTGAGACTCTACATTTGATTATTGCACTGAACATTAGAGTCGTGATCCTGAGAGTTAATTGCCCTCGAATGTGCTTCGTCATTTACTGCCAGCTCAGTGTCTTTCTTTTAAAAGCATCCTTATGTTGCTCCTTCTCACCAGGCACAAATATTTCCAGTACTATGCACAGGTAATGACTCTTTAAATTACCACCATTCAGTCATCTTCCGGACAGGTTTTCTTCAAGAGTCAGCAAACAAGCAGGACTTTCAAGGACTGCTCTTCAAACTAGTGGATCTTCTACTTTGTCTGGACATAGTTCCCACTGGGAAATACTGACTGTGGTTCCAGGTTGCTGTTTTGGGACACTGAGACATAGTGATACTCTTTCATAAAACTTACTTGAGAATTACAATGCAAATTTTTTAAAAAGTGTATAGTTACTCATTTATTTAGAATATATTTGTTGAATGGAAACTATATGCCCTGATATCAAATAAAATCCAATAGCTGATCTCTGGGAAAACAGTTTCCTAGTGAGAGATAGAGGCATCTGAATATGGCATAGGTTGGCATAGGAACTACAAAGGAAAAAATCCAAGGGTAGGGGGTGGAAAGACAGAGTAGGAAGAGGGAAGGAGGAAGAAGCATTCTGGGGCAAGTGATATCTAAAATGTGTTTTGGAGTAAGGATTAGAAATTATTCAAGAGAGGAAAGAAATGGTGATCAATTACTGACTTTGCTCTCATGTTAGGGAATTTGAACTTTTCCCAGGACTGGGAGTGGTTCTATGTAGCACCATTAAAGAATTCTAAACAAGAAAGAGGACTCATCTGATTTCCCTTGTAGAATGAGCACTTTGGTGACAGTATGGAGCATGAATTAGGAGCAGTACAAAGCCAGGGGAAAGTGTATCTATTAAAGAGTGGTTAAAATAACTTAGATGATAAAAAATGAGAGCCCTATCTCAAGCACTAGAAATTGTGTGTGTGTGTATGTGTGTGTGTGTGTGTGTGTGTGTGTGTGTGTGTAATGCGGTATACTCAAAAGATACTAAGGAGAAAAAGTCACCTGAGAACTGGTTGTATATGTGGGGTGAAGGAAGGGCAAGTCAAAGATGATTTCACTTTTTCTACTTGAGTGGCAGCTTGTGTGACTGGATCATTCATGATGTTGATGGAAATGTGGAAGAGCTGATCTTAGGAGACTGATGATAAATGAATCTTTGGAGTTCTTGATTTGAAGGTGCCAGTGGAACCCTCAGAGATTTCAGTTAGCCCTTGATTATGGGTCTGGAGAACAGGAAAATAGCTGAGCTGGAAAAAATACTTTGAAATCTTCAGCACATAGAGAATAGATAAAACTTGAGGATATGTGAGATCATCCAAAGAGTATTTGTAAAGAGAAGAGAGAAAGGTACCAATTACAGATTTATGAGGCACACCTACTTTAAAGGTACAGTGAGTTGAAGAAGAGAATGTAAAACATTTTTCTGGAAACAAGCAACTAGAAAGGTAAGAAGAAAATTTAAAAGGGCGAAATCTGGGAGCTGAAGGAAGAAATTGTTAAGAGAGGGGGAAATAAAATTCCTGCTAGAAACTAGACCTATCTCAGCTATACCTAAGATTTCAAGGGCTAAATAGAGGTGTTGCTTGTTTGGATTTTTTAATGAAAATTCTATTAGGAAATAAAAAGCAAAATAAATATCAAAGAAACTTTAAATTGGACCAATGAAAACAATTAACAAAATAATTATACATTTTATGTAGTAGTTGAAAAGTGAAGCAAAGAACTAAGTTATCTGCAAATTTATTCAGATAGGTTATTTTCTTTGGTAAGCATTAAGATAAGAGTTCAAGTGCTTCTGAAGTAAATTGCTTTTAATCTTGTTTTTAACAATTCTTATTACTGCATCTGATATTAAAATGGACGGGAAACCATTTTAAGTACTCTTTGGAATAGCAGATTTCAGCTGTGAAAGAAAAAAAAAAGTGAAACTTACCAAGGTATTTACTAAAGTCACACAATACAGCATTAGTTTTCTATGGCTGTCATAACAAACTGCTACAGACTGGGTGTCTTAAACAGTTATGGAAGTTGGAGCCTGAGATAGAGGTGTTGGAAGGTTTGGCTTCTTCTGTGCCCTCTCTCCTGGTCTTGCAGATAGCCATCAACAAGTGTCTTCAGTTGCTTGTCCCTCTGTATGTGTCCATGTCCTAATCTTTTAAAGGACACCAGTCACATTGAATTAGGGCCCACACTTAGGATGTCATTTTAACTTAATTACTTCCTGAAAAACTTTTGTCTCCAAAAACCAGTCCCATTCTAAGGTGCTGCAGGTTAGGACTTCAGCATATGAATTTGGTTGGGGTTTGTGTATGTGTGTGTGTGTGTGTGTGTGTGTGTGTGTGTGTGTGTGTAATACAGTTAATAAAAATCACAAAAATCACTATTCTTGAAAATTTTAATTTCTATTAATTGGCGTAAAAATCTTCTCATAGATCATCATGTTTTTGCTCAATTTTAAGTTTCAAAAAGGGTTCATTTTATCAAAGGCACATTTTGATCATTAATAAAATTACTTAACTATGTATGGTAAAGCAAGCACATTTTACTATTTCACTAGTAGATGCACCTAGTTGTTTTTTAAATCCATGGAATGATTGTATGGAAGAACCACAAATTCTTCCACATTCTTCCCATTGAGAGATGGAAGTCAAATGTCAATTTCTCCTTCCTAAATCTGTGAGGGTTTTCTGTGAACTGAGGCTATCCTGACTTCAGCCTTAAAATACTGGCAGCTCCACTTCTTGTCTTTTGGTATACTCCCTCTAGAATCCCTGAGCAACCACGTAAGAAGTACATGAGACTGCCATGCTGGAGAAGCCAAGTGCAGGTGATGCAGTCAACTCTTCCCTTTCAATCATCTTTGTCAAGGCACCAGGCATGTCAGTGTACCCGTTTGGGATCCTTCATCGTCCAGCTAAACACCATCAAGGTCTCTTGGTGGACCCCCTATAGAAAATAATGCTTGTAGAAATACTTTACAGATTTGGTCTCTTGTGAATGAAAGCTATTAGTTCATCAGTCATTTCAGCACATGAAACTGCCTGGCAATGCATCTGTACTCAATATGAAAATGCTCTATGCAAACCATCATGCTAGATCTCATTTTTGTTGTTATAGTTACCATGGAATGCTTGTGTCTGAATTCAAGGTCAAAGATGATCTTTTATGCTTACTGTGCTTCTATCCCATAGTATCAGAAAAAGGGAAGCTATTCTGTGGCAGATGGAAAATATAAGACACCTATGGAATTAGAGGAGTCACAAAATAACCTTAAATTAGTACCAATATGTTTGGAGATTTTCATGTTTAACAGGCCAATATTTCCTATTTTGTCTTTAATTAATTTATGGAAGCCCCAATTGAATATCAGAATAATATAGTTTCATTTTAGAATGTGTCTTTCTATTCCTATACAAATGCTCTGAGAACAAGAGACAAGAGATCAGATTGCCACTTTTTTGAACCATCTTTCCATTTACAGTGTTGGTTCATAAATGTGGAGTTTGATAATGATGATTGACAAGTGTTATAGTTCTGTTTCCTATGATTATAGCCTATGCTTTCCCCAATGCCACACACATATTTGCATTGATTATTCTCACAGGCAGCAGAATACTGCAAGAGTATGATGTATGCATTGCTTCCTTTGTATAAAGTATCGACAAGTAAACCAGCACTAGAAATGTTCTACCATGAGTTTTATGGATGGGAAAGAGAAGTAGATAAACAAATGTGTGAAAATTGTGTTGGGGAGTCAATAAGCAAATAACTTAATAAGTCCTTAAGTAAATTCAGGAACTTATGCATGTTATGAAGGAAATAAACAAGGCAATATGACAACATGACAGGAGCTATTTGAGATAAGAGTGTTGGTGCAGACCCTCAGCAGATACGCAGTTGAGTAGGTAAGAACTGAACCTCAGCATGTTATATAGATGCTTTTGAAATATCCGTCTTACCCTACTAAGTTGGCAACTTTTCCCCTTACTAGACACATGTATGGCCTCTAGTTTGCCAAATTCTTGACTTCCTGCATCCCATGGTTAGATTAGTGACTCACATTCCAGAAATACAATAAAATTGCACTGTTTGCTGACTCATTTCTTTATCTTTTTTTTTCCAAAAAATAATGAATTTCTAGAAGAACAAATCAGGATAATATAACAATTATTCAAATATGTAGAAAATTATGGTTAAAATTTAGCAAGCATTTACTAAATGTCTAGTATCCTTATTTTTCTGGAGTATTTAGTTGATACTAGACATTTAAATGTCTATGTATTAGTTAATGTTTATGTATTAGTTAATGAAGTTTTTTTAATAGTCCACAAAATTGATACTACCAATATGTTCCATTAAGGGTGAAATCAGGCCAGAGGAGAAAATAATTTGCCTCTTGCCACACAGCAGGGTAGTATAGGAGTTGATAGAGTACTTTCCATTACACTGCATACACTATCTTCACAGAATAGATAGAATAGTCATTCCATGTGTTCAATACTTTGGTGGTATAATACCAATTGATTTTTTTTTTTTTAGGATGAAATTTTTCTTTTTTCAGAGCCAATGATAACCCTTAACTTGACCTTGGGGATTCACAGGAAAATAAAGATGTACTTTTTTTTTTAATAGAAAAACTGCATTGAGAAAAATGTGTTTTATCCAAGCAATATTCTGTGTAAACAGTTAATAAATCAGAAAAAAAGAAAAATGTTAACAGTAATTTAGCAGCAAATGGGGTATTTGACCTGCAACTTCCAGATGAATTCCCAAACGACATGAATAATTTATTTTAGGAAGATGAAATGATATGGGTTATGTAATGCTTGATGAGAAATTGCAGTCATAATTGGGGAAATTGCTTCTACTTAGCAGGGTCACCAATGGAGGAAGGAGCTGCTCCCACGATATCATTTTCCACCTTGAGAATCTTGGCTGCAGCAGTGGGTAAGTGCTTGCTGCCCAGTTGCAATCCAGCTAGCTTAGCAGAAGTTAGCTTCGTTTTCCAAAGGCCTCCTGAGCCATTTGAATATCTAGCACCCAAACGTCTTCTGAGCTATTTTCTTAGAGGTTGTGCTCCATTCATATCTCCACATCTTAGAGTTGCCCTTACTACTTAAGTTTTCCTAGATTTGCACAGATGTAAGGCACTCCCAGAACTAGGATAAGCTGTCAAATTGTAGAGCAGCTCAGTTGCTCCTTGGAATTTATGCCCTGAGGGACAAGCACTCTATAGAGCATTTTGAAAGCTGACAGTTTAGGGTTGGCAGCTGAATTTTGACATTCATGCTATTATCAAAACTCTCTCAAACAGCTGAAACTGTAGGTATGTGACAGCTAAGCCTTCTGTGAAGCGTGTTTATCTGGCAGGAAAAATGCAATCAATTCCCTTATTATTCCTTTATCTTGTACATTGCAGTTGCTTTCTTGTTAATCAACTAAAACTAACATTTTTGAGATATCTAAAATGACAAGGCAACTGAAGAGCCACTGTTAGAATTTTAGTTTCAATGCCATGTTCAATTTAAAGGTATTGCTTTGCTTCAAAATGTTTAGTTGGATAATTAATCACAGAATTTTAGAGAAATTTAAAAAGCATCACAAGACCTCACAGGTTTGTGTCTCTATAAATGTCACACTTAGTCCTTCCCCAATGGACTTACAAGAAAATGAAAACCAAATTTCTACACAGACTACAGCTGATTTAATCAGAAATATTAGTGTCTGGAAAAAATATTTTATCAAAATAAAGAGCTGAAAGTTGAGATTTAAAAGAAAATACAATGCGAGCCTTAATTTCCATTCCATTAAGTGTTGAAAAACAAATGAATATTTGACAAGTAAATAAGAATAGAGACACATTTTGAGGAGGTTTTGTCAGAAAGAGGGCATTCTTTTTTTTTTAAGCCAAGGAAAAATAATAGCTCCTGGAGCTATTTTTACTTCCTATAAGTTTTTTTTTTTTGGTTAGTGAAAAACAATAGAATTATATTACAACTTATAAAATAATGTGGCTCCTTGGTTTTTAGTAACCAAACCAATTGATTCTAATAACACAATTTTCTCCTTTGGATGACTGCCTACCCTGACAAAAGGAAAAATGACAACAATAAATAAAACACATCTCACTCCCTCAGACTAACTACCAAGTCCATTTAGAGACATGAAAATTTGGCCTCACCAAAGAATGGGCAAAAAATCTTTTCTTTTCCTTATGTACTAGATAAGAACAAATTTAAATGCATTATTAATATAATTAACCCAACCACTTGCCCCTGATTGCCATAACTGCGTATGAACTCTTAGAACTCTCTGATGTTCTTTGATTCAGGACTGGGAACTAAATTTGATAAAACAAGGGGAGATGATTCCTAGTTATATTTCCCATGTGTGTGCTCAACACCAAACAGGTAGTCTATTCAATAAGTTAAAACAATGAAAAGAGTCCTCAGCAGAAAAAAAAAAAAATGAGATATAGTTAGTTGGACTTTTCTCATGATTTTCCTATAAAGAGACATAGATTTTGAATTTATCAATATTCTAGTCTGATCTGCAGGCTAAGTTATATGGTGATTTTAAAATGACATTAAAATTGTAGAAACAACACTTAAAGAATGTATATGATGCATTTGACATAATTCTAAATCATTCTTATACACAGGCATAAAACATCATACATATACATTGCATATTCATATGTATACATGTACACACATATATGTATAATCTTTCATCCTCATAACATTCTTGATGCTATCACTATCCCCATTCTGTGGAGAAGGAAATAGAGGCTCAAAGAGATTAAATAGCTTGCCCAAGGTCACAAAATAATGAGAGTGGTATTTAAGTCTGGGCTATCTGCCCATAAAGCCTGTGCCATTTATTTATCATTATATTATATTGCCCCTGGGTTGAGTCACCAGAACATTTACATTCATTCAAAGTTAATTTACAGTGCAAAAAAGAATTTTAAAATTCTATATGAGTTCCTTCAAAAATGTGGTCGATACAGTAAAGAGGAATAACCACAATGGAAGGGTATTTTCACTGCTTCCATACAAAAACATCTGGAGGCAGACTCAATAATGCAAAAATATTGATTTGAGTTTAAAAGGTGATGAACTTCAGGACTGATAACAGCGAAATTTATATCCCTAAAGTTTCCCTCTCATATTTCCTAATCCCCCTTTCCACATTTAAAAAGCTGGTTTTTAGAAGTGATGACAGAAGTATCACAGAGTCAGCCCTAATAACAGCTGTCAGCTCAGATTAGTGCAAGTAAAAATTTCTTTCAGTTTCTGCCACACATCTGTTGTAGCTTATTTTTTTTAAATCTGTGGCTAGTGAGCTGTAGCATGGTATACAGAATTATTTTTTTCCTATATTTAAAGTACTTTTCTGTTTTCTTTTTTATTGCATTGCCTCATTTCCTGGAAGTTTTTCTATTAATGCATTCTAACTGCTTAGCTTCAAGCAGGCACCAAGAAATAAATAAAAACGTGAATTCTTGCCTCAAGTAAAATAAAGATTTATTTGTACTTTAAAATATCTTGGACTGATTTTATATATATGTAAAATAATTTCTACATATGCATTTTTCTATATTATGTATCTCTAAGTTTTGGAACTCTTTATTATATCTGTGAGTTGCAATATTAAGACGAAGTAGCTTTGAGACAAAAGTTCTCTTTCTCTTTTCACTAAGACTTCTGTGTTTTTAATCAAAATATTACCATACTGTCTCATTTGTTTTATTAATAATGTAAAAATGAACAAAAAATAACAACAAGAGAATTTACCAGGTTACAAAATGTAAGACATTTTAGGTTGATTAATTTTATCTTGGACCAAGGGTTTTTAATAAAAGTTTTTAAGGACATTTATATTTAGGTCTTATTTGTATTTCTTACTATTGAGATGGAATGGAGCTTTATGTGGAATTTCTGCCAAGCAAGGTATTGAATATTTTTAGCACCAATATCATCTTAGTCTCTGACCTGGACGGTTTTCTGGGGACAGCTGCAACTGTCATTCTACCTTGCTCTTATTATCTGGGGTCATATATAGGCAGTGAAGAGAATAGGAATAACTACAACAGTGGTGATATTTTCAATGTTTCAAGAATGTCTGGAGGCAGAACTGATAATGAAAAATGTACTTATTTGTTCAACTGAAACTCATCAAGACTGATAACAGCCACCTTTACACCTCAAGAGCTTCCACAAAGTCTGGCTTATGGCCACTTCTGGCTCTGTCCACAAGGCAATCCTGAGAAATGAAAAATATATAGATTTATACTCAGACTTAAAAGTTCTCAAATTCTATTCCAGATGGGACCAGAGATTTGAAATTTGTTTCTACAACGTCTGACCTTCAGTTTCCTTATCATTATATTTCAGAGTATTTTTATTTTGTATATTTTTATTTTTTCCAAAGATGAAAATGAGATGAAAGTCTGTGAATTTTTTGGAGTCTCTTAATAAATGTTTTTGTCTCTCTCAATAATGTTTCTTTCCATTTTGTTAGTAGTTTGACAAAAAATTTAATTTTTGGAATGATGATTAAAATTAAAGAAGAAGAGTAGCTATTGATCAAGATGTATTTTTGCTGAGTCAAGAAATATTTATATTTGTGAAGACCTTTCCTTCTGGAATTTATAATGTTTTGCAGCAACATTTTTCAAAGTGCAGTCTATGGGTAATCCGCATCAAAATCACTTGGGTTGCCTTGACTTACTGAATCAAGATCTCTGTGGAAGTCATCTGAGTAAATATACATATGCAACTACATCCCCATGAGAACTTTTTTTCCTACACTAAAATTTGAGAAGTAGACAGATGGTATAGCTCAGTGGTAAAATACTTATTGAGCTCAGGTTTGATCCTCCTCATTCCCTCTCTCCCCATTAAAACAAAGTTTGAGAAGCATTGTCTTGTCTTATATACAGTCTTTTATAATTTACAAATCATAAATCATATTTATGCTTCTTATATTATCTGGTTCTCCATCCTTGTCTTTTTATGGGTTGGGAAACTGAGCTCTAGAGAAGTTTCTAACCCTAGATTACAACGTCAAGAAAAAGTAGGTTTAGGCCTGTGTTATGGGCTTCTACTTCAGCTCTCTTTACACTACATTTCACCATTCTCTTTCTACATGAGAGAAGGCTAGCTGCAGACAGCTGGCACACATGCATGTGAGTCTACACAGTATTCTACTCTAAAGGCTATGGGAGATATAATAAAGATTTTTAAATATTAGAAAGATTTCATCAGATATGTATTCTAGTAGGCAGCCTGGAAAATGGTTGGAGAGAGTAGAAACTGAAGCCAGGGAGTGAGTAGGGAAAATCAACATATCTTCTATCACACTGGTAATGTAGATGAGGTTACTCATGCCAAGAGTTTTCAAATTGCATTCCAGAAGGCACTGGAAATAAAATACTTGTCAGAACAAGATATAGCTGTAAACCTCAGAAAATGGTACTTTATGGTACTTATTAAATTTTAACATTAATCACATTAATATGGCAAGCTTCTATAATAGGACTTGTTTTGTGAACTCTGTGAAAAGAGAACCATGTATGCCCAGAATCTAATTGAGTATTGGCTGTACAGTTTTATTAGAAATGTTCATTGTTAATTTAATTAACTTGAGTGAATGATGTTGATGATACTTTTTTAACAATGAGGGTCTCCTTCCATTTCCATGCAATTTCCCTTCTCTCTCCCTTTCCCTCCCACCTCTCGTCTCTGTTTAATATTAATCTTCTTCTCATGCTCTTCCTCCCTGCTCTGTTCTTAGTTGCTCTCCTTATATCAAAGAAGACATTTGGCATTTGTTTTTTAGGGATTGGCTAGCTTCACTTAGCATAATCTGCTCTAATGCCATCCATTTCCCTGCAAATGCCATGATTTTGTCATTTTTTACATTGTTATACAAAATTACATATAAGAGGAAGTGAGGGGAAAGGAAAAAATAAAACAAGGGAGAGAAATGAATTACAGTAGATGGGGTAGAGAGAGAAGATAGGAGGGGAGGAGAGGGGCGGGGGGATAGTAGAGGATAGGAAAGGCAGCAGAATACAATAGACTCTAGTATGACAGTATGTAAAAACGTGGATGTGTAACTGATGTGATTCTGCAATCTGTATACGGGGTAAAAATGGGAGTTCATAGCCCACTTGAATCAAATGTATGAAATATGATATGTCAAGAACTATGTAATGTTTTGAACAACTAATAATAAAAAAATAACAAAATCAAAAAAAGAAAATACTTATTTAACACTGTTAAAAGTAAATTATTTTTATATTCATAGTTTATGCATAAATATATACCAACATTTAGCTTTAGGTATGTTTACTCATTTGATCATCACAACCCCTCATCCTATTACTAGTAGTACCTAGTTTATATACGAGAAGAACAAAGTAGTTAAGAAACTCATCCAATGTCAGTTGCTTGTCCAACCTCTAATCCTAGAAGAATTGGGACTTGAATTAGGTAGCCTGGTTCTGAGGCCTTACTATGCTACATTACTTATGTAAATTGCTTGTAACACAATGTTATTTCATATTGGTACAATTTGGAGTTTAGGGTAGAAAAAGGAAAGACAGTGGAATGAATCTGACATAATTTTCTTACATACATACATGAATACACCACAGTGAATCTCACCATAGTCTACATCCACAAGAATGAGGTCCCAATTAGAATATCCATGCTTGTGTAATTATAAAAAAAAAATGAAATCCTTCAGCACATTAAAAAATTGGAGCTTAATAGTTACACCATATGCTATAGCAATGAACAACCTTAAAATATCAGTGGCTTGGGCCAATAAAAGTTTATTTCATACTTATACTTTCAGGTAGTATAGATGACTTTGCTGTGTGGCTTTCATCCAAAAGATGACTCAGCAATCTGGGCTCTTTCATCTTGTAACTATGCCAGCAGGAATAGTTGTCCCCTAGGAGGAGAAATGAAGTAGGCACACTAGCTCTTAATTATCTTGGTCCATAAGGTCACGTCACATCCACTCATATTTCATTGGGTAGCACTATTCACATGGCTCAACTTAATAGCAAGGAAGATGGGGAAATTTCCATAGACAAGCATACGAATCTTTGGTGAATTGTGATTAAAAAACAGCATAATTATAAATACATAAAAACAAAACATTGGGAGCACTGCATTTGTTTTGAGGCACTGGTTTTATCATTCATTAGTTCAGTTACCCTGATAATTTAATTTATTCGCTTTGAATCAGTTTCACCATGCATAAAATGGGCAAACTGAGTGATTACAACTCATACGTTATTATATTACCCCATCAGAAATGATAGAAGTAATGACCACAGCTCAGTTGTGGGCACACTGCAAGTGCTCAATATAGTGCAGCCATTGTATCACTCAGAGTCGTCCACAGAAATAGAATTCATAGGAAATGTTGGTATATTTATAATATGGAATATTATATTTTCTTAGTATAAAGAAATCAGCTTACATGAATCTGAAGGCTGGAGGCTGCTATAGCAGCAGGAAAAACAGATATTCCAATTCAAAGGTAATCAGGTAGGAGAATTCTCTCTTACTTGGAGAAAGGTCAGCCTCCAACTGATTGGACGAGGCCCACGCAAATTATGAAGGGAAATCTGCTTCATATAGATTATCTATTTAAATGTCAATCTTATCTAAAAACACCCTTTCAGAAACACCCAGAACAATGTTTGACTAAATATTGGTCACATGATGGCTGAGCCAAGAAGACACTCAAAATTAATCATCACAAAATGGAGCAAATATGTTATTTTAATATATGAGCATGTTATACTGAACCCCACTATTATGTGTGATTATAATATAGTAATAAAAACATTAAAAATGAATCATCACAGCTACTATTATTGTTTTTATTATCATATACAGTCTATAGTAAGGATTTTCATGAATAATTTGCTTTCCTTCCTAAAGACCCATGTTAAAAATCCCTTCCATGTTAGCAGCAATAGTGACCTGTACAAGATGGATGTCTATGAGTGCAGAGAAGATTTTGGTGCCTAGAATGAGCAGATAAAATTGGTAGCCCTCTTACTAGATTACCATCTTGATGGTCACACAGCCATCATGGAAAGTGTGCACAGGTCCTTAAATAAAATGTTCTATGGAAAACTAAAGGTAAAATTGTCTCATCTACTTTCCTGCATTTCTCCTCTTTGTTACAATGTCTATAATAATCATTCGGATGTATTTTTTAAATCATTTATAGTGTTTAGTTCAATTTTAGCTAGACTTTCATAATCATATTAAGGCTAATTACTTGTATAATTCTCAGTCTAACACTTAGTGAAATCTTTATTGACACAGTCTTCAAACAGCCAGTCAAGGCAAGAAGGAAGAAAGTCTGCACAAGCTGTTTGGGTGTTTAAATAAAACAATCAGCTGATTGACTTAATTTCTCACTTTCAGCTGGTTGTCATCATGGAGACACAGATGAAGAGAGATTCCACAGCCAACTTCATCCAGAAAACACTGGGAAGATTATGTTGTGTATTTAAAAAAATAAAATAAAATAAAAAAGCCTGGAAAGATGCTCTACTCTTGGTGCCCAGAAGCCTGGCATACAGGTTTTATCAAAATGGTGGAGAAACATAAGCTCCTGACACACAATGCTTTCCAGGAAAATGCTTCGTTTTTTGGAAAATCCAATCAGATAAATCAAATTCATCACATATAAAATGGGCATAATGAGTGTGTACAACTCATAAGGGTATGTTGTATTGTTAATTCAGAAATGATAGAAAAAATGACCATAGCACGGACTTGGGCACATAGTCAGTGCTCAATATGATACAACCGTTGTATTGCTCAGAGTTGTCCAGAGATGTAGAATTAATAAGAGGTAAGAGAATTCTTACCTCTGGTAAGGTCTAGTTGTACACACTCAACCCAGTCAACCTGCTGGACTAACCTGCCCAATCAATTGGTAATTATTACTAATCAGTTGTTTGAACTGACAACACGTGTGACCAGTGTGCCATTGAAGTCAGATAAGCACTAAGGAAGGCAATAAGGCAATAAGGAAGGATTTATCCTGCAAAGTCTTATTTCTTAAATGTATCTCAAAGTATGGAGAATAACTATGTCTTTAAATTGCTTTTCTGGTGTAGTTTTATTAGTGAAAGGACCTTGAAGTGCACATCTAGAACGTTAATAAGAAGCATCTACAATAAACTAGGCCAGATCGGTCTTAATTTTATTTAAAAATATTAGAAGACAAAGTTAAAATGTTTTGCATTATTTTATTCTAAAATGAATTAAATTATAGCAAATGCTTTCCTTATCATACAAAATAAAATATCTGTGACATAATAGTTATACGAATTGAAATTTGGTGACATATTTTATGAGTTTTTAAGAAAAACAAATTTTTGAAGTCCTATCAAATTTCCATTGCCAGTCCCTTTGCTTTTAATTGTCAGCATGTGCTATTTTATTTTGTGCTTTATAATAATAATAAATGTCATTGCAGAGATATAAAAGGGGGCTAGAGAGTCTCTAAATCCACTTCTTGATTTATACATTGACCTGCACTGTATTTGTTCTAGCTCTGTGTGAGGTAGCACTCACCTCAATTTCAGGAATGTGAAAATGATAGTTGTAAGAAAAGAATATACTATCTGCTGATTTTATAGTTGCCAGGGTTTTTCACAGAAAGGAATCTCTACAAACCTAGATGGAAAGAGTTATTAATGTATATGAGCTAATTAACATATCAGTTAAGCTATAGTCATATTCATCAGGGGAGAAAATATTCCACTCCAAACTATTCAGTCTTTGCTGTATAGATAATCCTTCATAAAACATATTTTATAAAGTTCTCTGTGAACTCAAGCATTATAAAATATATCACATAGAAATTTTGTGTCAAGCCACATTATAAAGTGACTCAATTTATATGGTATGATATAGATGAGGAAAGAGGGCTGGGGCAGTAGTGTCTAGAAATATTCAAACACCTGTTCATTGAAAGAAAATGCATGAAAATTTTTTTGTGTTTATATATACATAAATATGCTCATTATCAACTTCAACAGATACAAAGGATTTTAGCACACTGTAAGTAACATACAATATTTTATTATAAATTCTACATATTTAGAATTTTTTCATTGATTTTTCTCAAATATTTATATTTTTAGTTAAACTATGCTTGCAATTGATGGACAATTGTGGTCATGACATGAATATTTGTTGATAATTTCATTCAGCAAAACAACAAAGATTCATTTTGGAATGTCACTGTTTAATGATATGGCTCTCATTATTAAAAAAAATTAAACTTACATAAGTTATATTTAATACACAGGTGATAAAACATAAATTTATCCCTTCCTTAAGTTTATATTACATTTTACTACTATTTTTGCTCTTGAGTACTATTTTTACTACTATTTTGTCTCTTATTATGGTGGGAATACTATATAATGGTGAACTGACAATCTGTTTTCTGTTCCATGTTTAGTGATTTCAGATTGGAGGCCAGAAATCTGCCATGATGAAACAATTTACACAATAGAAACCAGCAAATGCTATAAAGTCAGGGTTTGGTATTTTATTTTGTGATGTTGAGATTTAAGAAAAAGATGGAGGAAATGTTAAGAATGTCAACTAAAATTTTGTCATATCTCTGGACATTACAATTTTGAAAATCCAAAATATTCTTGAAGTATTTCAAGATATGTATTTCCATCAGCAGTCATATTTGACATTGTAAATGAGATCATAAATTTCACCAGTCAGCATCTACATTATTCTAATATTGTTGTAGCTCCAATAGTTCCTATACAATACTGTCATAAACATAGATACTACCTCAGCAAATCCTTACTGAATGCATATAAAAATGCAGAGATATCTAAAATGAGTTACTCCTTAAACCTATTAATCATTGACTTTATTATCAGGGGTTCAAAGTCCTTAAGGTGAAAGCAATGCCCTCTGAAGCATATGGATTAAATGTGAGGAGCAAGGTGTTTCCCAGAAGTTAAGTGGGGTATGGTTACCAGAAGGAGGGTGAATAAATTTAGGAAGCAAAACAATTAGGTGTGTCTGCACCTGCTGCTTAGTCTCGGAGCATGCTCGCTGGATCCATTCATCTAGAAATAGTCTTTTTTTTTTTTTAATTTATTTTAGGCTATGACCTAGATTCTCTACTGGCTTTAATTTTATTTATCCACTATGGTATTCACATATTAGTGCAGTCAGTGGCTCACAAATTATAGTAGGTGGACTAGAACCATCAATATTAGAGATTCAAACTTATTAGACATGCCAATTCTTGGGCCTCACTCCAGGTGTACTGAATAAGAAACTCTAGAGGTACCATTAAAAAGGTGCATTTAAACAAGCCCTACAGGTGATCCTGATACATGTGGAAGTCTGAGAGCTTCAGCTGGAACTGTCTCTGGTTCTTCTTTGTCATATTCTGTTTAAGCACTTTCCGGAAAAATGACAAAGCTAAGTCTTGTCCACCATTCCATTCATCCTGTATGCTACCAAGTATGTGCACATATCCTGTCTTCTTCCTTCCTACTCCATATTGTCCCCAGGTCTGAATTTCTCATTTTCCAAGGCCACTGCATTAATTCTACTTTTGACTACCTTTCGCCATAGCTTCCACTGTTTTGAGAGCCCTTAGGCTTAAACTTCTCCATGGTTAATTGCAAATTAAGTCAATTGGGAAGAGATTAAGAGTAATCTTAAATCTGTTTCTCCCTTAGGAAAAATCTCTGATCTCTGATCAAGGGCTGTAGAGCTGGAGGGGACAACCATCTGAGGACCTCTTTTTGCCTCTTCAGGTATGGAGGCACCACCTCATTAGCCAGGGGAGGGCAATTAGGGCCTCAGTATTCTTAGCCTATTGTACTCATTACAAATGGGGGCTCCACAGAAGAAGGAAGGACCCATCTCTCAATTATTCTCACCTGGGGCTTAGCTTCAACAACAGGTAGGATGAGAAATGTCAAATTCCTGCTCATCCTGGGAAGAAAAATCATTTGACTGGGAACTGGGAGAACAGAAACCCTGTGTTTGAGGCTGCAGCAATCTGGAGTGGAGCCTCAACCTTGCTGAGCTGGAAGTAAGCAGGGAGGGAGGTTCATGTTACACAGCCTCTTATGCTCTCATCTTTCTTACTGAATTTTCACAGATTTTTGGAACACATGTTTCCTTGTTTGCTCTTTGCTCCTGGAACCATTTCCAGAGACTAAATGTTTGCTTTTTCTTTTCTTTTTTTTTTTATCTCTCTTCCTCCATCTCTCTCTCTCTCTCTCTCTCTCTCTCTCTCTCTCTCTCCCTCTCTCTCTCTCGTGCTTAGGATTGAGCCCAGGGCCAGGTACATTTACTCCTATACTACATCCTCAGCCCAAAAGGTTATAAAAATATTTGCTATTTTGAAACAGGGTCTCCTTAAGTTACTGAGGCTGTCCTCAAAACTACAGTCCTCCAACCTCAGCCACATGAGTAACTGGGATTACAGGTATGTACTACTGTACCTGGCTAAATGGTTCCTTTTTGTGAAATAATTTACTATAGTTTCACTAAGTAGCAGGTCAGTCATGCCTGAAGTTGGTTGTCCTCAGACTGGATGTGAATTGAAGCCAGTTGCTATCTAATTCATGCCTAAAGTTAACTGTGTATTTTGGATCCCATGAGGTCTGACTGTCCACAACTGAGATAGTCCTTCTAGTCCCAGCCCATACGCTCATCGTTAAGCCAGGCCTGATAATTCTGACTTCCCAAGTAGATCCATATTGCTATGAATGTTTTCCAATGTCTTAAGCACGTTGGCAGAAATTGTGATGGGAAGTGATGTCAGTAGAGGTAAGAAAGCACGAGAGTAAACTGTCCAGCATCAGCCCTTGTCATGTGGAATCTTACCTTTCAAGGGTGAATTGACTTCATGTTACAGGGTGCACACATTTCCTTGAGCTCACTTTTAAGGAACTGTACAGAATTTTCCATTCTTTGGATTCAATTTGGTTGCGTTGAATACCCCTTGTTCGGGGACAGTTGCTCAAGATTGAAATTCTCCTAGAAAGGAAAACATTGCCTTAAAACCTTTGTGTGTTCAGGTATGTTTTTGGTGCAGCCTGTAGGTCATGGGTATTCACAGCCCTTCAAGAAGTTCATAGTCTAGTAGGGGAAGCAGAGAAGTAATCAGCAGTTATAATGTCATGAGACAGTGTGGCAGCAGTGAGAAATCACAGGCTGCCTGTTTCAGCCACCACCCCCTCATGCTGGTATCCAGAAAGCAGTGCTGAGATTCCACAGCACGGGATGGGAAGGTGGCAGTGTGAGATCCCTGAATTCTTGGTTCTCTTCAAAGCTGAGAAGTGAGAAGCAAATTGACAGTGTATAGGAATGTGCCCAGGCAACTTTTTTCTTTCTCTGCTTTTCTAATTACCGTAGGAAAAAAACACAGAGGTTTCTATCATCATAGGGGGTGGGAGGTGGGGGTTGAGGGGTGGGGATAGGCTACTGGTGGTGTGACAGTGGCTGTGACCTAGCCAGGATGAGTCTCTGTTCCAGGAAGACCTTTTCTTTGGCAAAGTTCAGTTTAGTAGCTGAGAGCTTTGGTACAGGAAATTATGTCTCTCCCTTGCTCAGAGCATCCAATGGGTCTCCAGTGTCAGTAGAATAAAGATCCTCAGCACAGGACATAAAGCCTTCCTTGTCCTGCCCTCTACCTGGCTCCCTCCTGGCCAGTCGCTACTCCTGCCATGCACACATTTTATGTTCTAACCATGAAAGCTGCATGCACACAGCATTCTCCTTTCATGTTCCTTTATCTTCACTATATTTTTTATTTTGCTTGAAATGCTCTTCTCTTTTTCTTCTAGGCCTCACTTCCTAAGGAAGTCTTCTCAGCCATTGCAGACTAAGTTAGGTGCTCTTCCTCTAAAGATCCTGTCCACATCTCTAATCTTGCCCTTGCCGTAGTATTCTACATGTATACTTTTGCTGTGAGCTCCTCCAGGCTCTGCCTTATCTATATTTGTATCAACCATGGCTGAGCATAATGCCTGGGACCTAGTTGGTACTCCAAGAGTATTTTGCTGTGTAAATGAATCAAATGGTCCTTAACTGTCTCCTGAATGATTAATATGCTGCAGCATCTGTT